TGAAGACTTGGAGTATCGATGCTGTTCTTCATATAACTACAATGTATTTTTACTGTCTCGAGTTGATGAAGCGACATTTTCATCTCCACTGGTTTCCAACAATCAACCGTCAGTTCCAAATCCACAAGAGAGGGAAACTTCGAAATCCGTTTCTCAATATATTCGGAACTAATGTTAATACTTATGCGTATATTCAACCTTTTTAAATCACTGCAGCAGACTGCTTCAAGCTTTAAAGGTGACCGTGGTTCGTAAGTAAGAGTTTCCAAGACTGGCTGCTTCAATCTTGAACCTATTTCTTAAATAACTGTACCATTTTAACATTTTTGAGGTTTGGAAATTCATCACAAAAGTTGAAGATCTTTTGTGTTTTGACAGCGACACAAGGCCAAAGTCTCAAGCGCTAGCGAAGGGCTCCGAACTAAGGACCCAAGATCCAAAGTAGGAATACGAAAATAATCATCTCTTATTCTAATATCTAGCAATTTGAGATAAGTGCTTGCTTACAAACTTGAAGCAGCGGTCAACAACATAGGCTAGACTTTTCTAGAAATAATCTTCCAATGACAGCGAAAATTAAATTATCCTCTTTTGATCTTCATGTTGATTGAGTCTTCTCAAGGATTTTTCTTTTCTTTTCAAGAATTCTTAAACACAAGTTTTTATATTGGTTTTACCATAGCTTGGGCCTCAGCCTCACCATTTATCCCATTTACTGTGAATAAGGGGTGGGGGGAGCTCTAGCTCTATTAAGGGATTCCTCACCCCTCATCTTAGAAGAAAAAACTCTAGCTTCTCTACTCTCTCAAAGCCAACAAGCTTCCATGTACAATGTAACTCTCATTCTACTTGGTGAAATCGAATCTACACCAACATGAACATATGTCTAACTTAGGGTCAACCACGATATATTTTATGTTCTTGTGCATTTGTGTAATTTCAGTGGAATCTAAGTCGGGCCAAGATCAACCCGATTTTGGACATCAACAGTATTCTTTATTAGGTCATAAGAAACATGAACAGGAAGATGAGATATTGGTACTGAGTGACATGCCCTGGACAAGGAACTCGACAAGGAACTCATACGGGCTGCATCATCTTTAGGCAAGTAAGAAAGGATTTCCAGCATAAGGGGTTCCGGCAATTGTGACATTCGATCCATATTATCAGGGCCGGCCCGGAGGGTAGCCCAAGTAGGCGCCCGCCTAGGGCCCCCATTTCGGAAGGGTCCCAAAAAAAGTTTATATCCTGTAATTAACATATAAATATAAAACAAAATTAAGAAATATCATAATTCATTTGTTAGTGCAGTGGAAATGTTAGTTTTATTTTTCTTTGGGGTGTTGAGTTCGAAACACGATACTGCTTTTCAGTCACTAGATTTTTCTTAATTTTTCTTGTTTTTCAAATTTACTGTCATTCATCTATCCAAATGCATATAAAGTTATAAAACTCAAGTCTCTTTGCAATCTTTTTTCTTTCAACTTCACTAGATTTTTCGTAATTTTTCTTGTTTTTCAAATTTACTGTCATTCATCTATCCAAATGCATATAAAGTTATAAAACTCAAGTCTCTTTGCAATCTTTTTTCTTTCAACTTCTCATTCTCTCCATTTCTATCGAATGTTTAAACGAACTTCTCATTCTCTCCATTTCTATTGAATGTTTAAACTAACAATCATATGATCTTAAAGATTGTACTGTAAGGTAATCAAAACTTTGAATTTTATATTTTTCTTTTCAATAACTTTTTATTCAATGGATTATTTTAATATTCAATTCGTTAGTGTGATGTTGATTTTAGAAGAAAAAAAAAACACAAGAGAAACAATTGACGTTGAATTTATTATACTCGTCAATCAAGTTTTATTGTTATTTACTCTCTTGATTATCAAATTTTATTGTTCTTCACTCTCAATCTTAAACTCTTGACTGCAAATATTTAGTACATTTGTGTCTAAAAACGTGAATCGTGTAATGTTTAAATAATGTTTGTATATTTATCTTATTTTGATATTAATTTTTAATGATATTTGATGTGAAAATAAACTTTTTATGTATTTAGCGAATTCTTTTTTATACAAATCAATATACAAAGAACCGGAGATAAGAGAATTTTAGGGCCCCACTTCGAAGGATCGCCTAGGCTTCCAAATTTTCAGGGCCGGCCTTGCATATTATGGGTGATCATGGCCACGACTCAGTGTTGCTGAAGTTGATGCCCATCTTATTAATTTACACTGTTATATATATCTTTCAAAACCTACTTTCTAGCTCTTAAACGTGTATGGGACGACTAATAAATTCATATGTTCTAATTATGGTTAGAATTTTAAACATTTCCTTCCAAATTTTTCTTCAGTCGAATCTTGAGGTCTTCCTAAACCCACAGAAAACATCATAACACATAAACGCCATAACCAATATTCTCACTAGTAAACTGCCGTTTTACCTCTTAACATTCACTCTGGTTGAAATTGACGATGTATACTATTGTTTTGGTGAATCTAGCAAATGAGTAATTAACTGGAAAAATTATCTGGCATGTATACTCAAATCCTCGATCGTGTCCTTCTTACTCACATGCACTGGCAGATCCGCATGTAGATACATACAGACGACTTCTGTGATTAAGGGAACAACAAAGAAGACTCCCTTTTGTCATTAAGGGGAACAACAAAGAAGACTCTTGAAACTTCGGCTTGTTTGGGTATCATTTAATTTTTAGTTTCTAATTTTCGCGAGCTATAGTGCCCTGTAATCGAGTTGGATTCCTTTTTTGTTCCATTCTTCCTATTGGCTGAGTAGTTTAAAGTGTAAGTTGCAAACAAAATAGCTAACAAGTCAATGTAAGAAAGAGAGTGAGTGGGATAAGCAATAGAAAATATCCATTCATTCGGACTCCCAGTAAGAAAACGTGTGCTTAAGATATGTTTGGATGGGTGAAGAAGGCTGATGGGAGAGAGGAGAAAGGAAAGAGAACGACACAAGAGATAGAAAGCAAAACAAATTAATATAGTTTTTTTTTTTAAGTTTTCACGGATTGTGATTTTCCTTGTAATCTTTTTCTACTTCTCTTTCACCATCGTTCATCCACTTTTCTTCATCCCTTATTTTCCCCATTTATTTCTCATCTACCACTAACTAAAAAATGTAAAATCCAAAACCAAAAACGTTATCATACAGACTTAACTTGTGTTCGGTGAACTATAAATTCACAAGATCCACCACCAAAATTTTAATTGGGTAGATGTATTATATACCCGTTACATATCCCCTCTTTCTATTTATCTCCTCATGTATATTGGTGCATGCAAATGTTTATACGCGTTACAATTCAATACGATATGAAAGTGCAGGAAGACAAGCACTAGTAGTCAAGCACCTTATCTCTATATTTGAAAAAACAAACACTAGGAGCTAAAGCGAAAAAAAAACCCCTATCAGAAACCCTTTCGCCGTCGGCCTCCAGCTCCTACTTGGGGCCGGTGGCTGCTACCCTTTCAATTTTTGTGTTATCCTCCTCCCTCTTTCTTCCTCACTCGGCTATGGTCCAGGTTCCCGATGTGGTTGGAGATCTATCTCCAGGGTTTTTATCCCTCCCCGCAAATGCGATCGCCCCGATCCTCTTCTTGGATCGGTGGAGCAACCAGCCATCTAGAGGTGGTATGGATGGAACCTTGTTTCCGGGTTTTGTGCCCATGTTTCAAGGTACTATTCCTTTGATTTGGGGTTTTTGGGATCAGAGTAGGTGTTCTTGGGGTCGACTTTGGGGTTCTGCTCTCAAACAACTCTAATACTTCTTATCTGCTCTCCAATTCCACTCCTGTTTTGGGGGATTTCATCTCATCTCTTGTATGCTACTTTTGGTCAGAGACAACTATATGTTGTCACCCCTACAAAGGTCTGGTATCTCTTTAGAATGGTGTTTACACCACCTGACCTTTTTGGTTATAGCTTGGTTTTGGGTATTCGTTTGCGCTTGTGTTCGTCTAAGGACCGAAGGTGTGGCGTTCAAGATGGTTTGGGGTCTTCCTGATATGCAGGTTGGGCTTCTTTTCTACAACTTTGAAGCTTTGATGGGTTTTTGTATTGCTCTTTGCGGTGGTATCTCACAGGTTTTCCGTTCGCCGGTCGTCTCCATCTTTTCGGCGGCGGTTGTGGCGGCTGGTGTTTTTTGGCTTAGGGTTATCGTTTTTTGTATAGGGGTCACTTTTGGGCCTCTTCGGGTGGACTCTGGCTTTTGGCCCAAGCCACATTTTATGTAATTTTTTGTTTTGTTTTTGCTTTTAGGTATAATTGAGAACCTTTACTCATGCGATAAATGCATAAGTGGCGTCTCTCCTCAGTTATGAGGCTGTTGTCTTTGTACTGTGTCCGTTTGGACTTTGTTATAAAAATCCTCCTTGACCAAAACAAAAGTAGTCATGCACTACGAGTCTCCTCTTAGCAACACAACTGAATAAACAAACGGTGAATCAACAAACAAAACAAGCCAGATAGTGCAGGAAGACGATTGAAAATGATTTCCCATTCATATATGGAAGCTGACGGAGTCAAGCACTACTGGTCTCCTTTCAGATGTTGAGAGTTGTCCTACATCGATGAGGGATAAGATTTATTATGTGCTTATATGGTCTTGGGCTACTCATCATATTTCAGATGTTGAGAGTTGTCCCACATCGATGAGGGATAAGGTTTATTATGTGCTTATATGGTCTTGGGCTACTCATCATATTACCAATTGATTTTATGGTGGAACCTCAATTTCATCATGGTATCAGAGTGGGTTGTCCTCATGTGAAGCCAAACGACCACATGCGCTCCACGTCACCCAATTGTTGTCCACGTGTAGGCTTGAAAATCCGCCCCCGCACCGGTGAGGGACAAAGTTTGTTATGTGCTTATATAGTCTTGAGTTACTTTCCATATTATTAATTAATTTTATGGTGAAACTTCAATTTCATCGTCAGATAGATGGGTCATTCAACTCCTACAATATTTTAATATCTGGTACTGCCCGTAGTCGTAAGATTTGACATTTCCATCTTGGATCCATAAACGCCATCTCTGATCAACTACAATAATATCCTCGATCTGCCTAAATTTGCCCTTTCCTTCTATGCTAGAAATCTAAGATCTGAGTGAATTAATAATGGGCAACATCTTTTCAATCTCCATATCATGTGATGACATACTTTCTCGCTGCTGGGATTCCACAGTTGGACAAATAGCATACCCTTGTATGTTCAAGTCCCACCTTCATGATCTGCAGACTGCTTTAGAAGAATTAACGGATCTAAAGAACGATTTGAAGAGAAGGGTTGACAATGCCGAGCAGCAGCAACATTTGAAACGCTTAGACCAGGTACAGAGATGGATAACAAGGGTGGAAGCCATGGAAGCTCAAGCCAATAACTTGGTGAACGGGAAAGATATCAGAAGTCAAAAAGTTGAGAAATTACGTGATTCTGGAGGTGGGTTGTTATGTAATTGCAAAACCCACTACAAGTTGGGGAAAAAATTGGCTAAGATGTTGATGGAAGTGAGTGCTTTACAGAGCAGGGGAGCTTTTGAAGTTGTGGCTGAACGGGTACCTGCAGCTATGGTGTATGAAAGAAGTATTGAACCAACTGTGGGCATGGAGTCAACATTTGGCAAGGTCTGGGATTGCACTGAAGATGAGCAAGTGGGAATTATTGGCTTGTATGGGATGGGAGGTGTAGGTAAGACCACCCTTTTGACCAAGATCAACAACAACTTCCTTCATACCCCCAATGATTTTGATCTTGTGATTTGGATAGAGGTCTCTAAGGATCTAAAGCTTGAAAATATTCAAGACAGCATTGGGGAAAAGATAGGGAGTTGCGATGGCTCGTGGAAGGATAAAGATCACCTTAGAAAAGCTGAAGACATCTTTGCGGCTTTAAAATCGAAGAGATTTGTATTATTGTTGGATGATATATGGGAGAGGGTTGATGTAGCCAAAATCGGGGTTCCGATTCCTGACAGAGAGAATAAGTCTAAGCTTGTATTCACAACTCGCTCTGAGGAGGTTTGTAGCCGTATGGGTGCTCACAAAAAGATCAAGGTGGAGTGTTTGGCATGGGACAGAGCATGGACTTTGTTTCAAGAGAAGGTGGGTGAAGAAACACTTTATATTCATCCAGATATCCCTACACTAGCAGAGATGGTTGCCAAAGAATGTGACGGTTTGCCACTGGCTCTAATTACAGTTGGACGGGCCATGGCTAGCAAGAAGACACCCCAAGAATGGAATCATGCAATTCAAGTTTTAAAACGATCTGCCTCGGAATTTTCAGGTATGGGAGATGAGGTATTCCCTCTTTTGAAATTCAGTTATGATAATCTACCTAGCGAGAAAGCTAGATCTTGTTTCTTGTATTGTGCATTATTTCCGGAAGATTTTCTCATTCACAAAAGAAGATTAATATATTGTTGGGTTGGGGAGGGAATACTGGATGAGTATGATGACATGACTGGAGCTCAAAACCAAGGTTATGATATTATAGGTACTCTTGTTAATGCATGTTTATTGGAAGGTAAGGAAGATTATGTGAAAATGCACGATGTTCTTCGTGACATGGCATTGTGGTTGGCCTGTGAATGCGGGAAGGCCAAAGATAATTTCATAGTTCGTACTGGCGCTCATTTGATTAAAGCACCAGATTTGGAAAAATGGAAGGGTGTGAAAAGGATGTCACTAATGGCTAATCAGATTGAGAATCTGGTGGAAAGATCCACATGCCCCAGTTTATCCACCTTGTTTCTAACTGATAATCATTTGAAGATAATTGGTGAAGGCTTCTTTCAGCATATGCCCAGTTTAAGAGTTTTGGACCTGTCGGAAAACAAGGGTATAACACATTTGCCACCGGGAATATCAAAATTGAAGTCACTAAAATATCTCAATCTATCACAGACAGGTATAAGAGGGTTGCCTGTTGAGTTAAAGGCCTTAGACAAGCTAAAATATTTGAACCTAGAGTTTACCAGTAAGATGGATATTGTTCCGAAGAATGAAATTTCAAGTTTTCTGATGCTCAGAGTTTTGAGAATGTATGATTGTGGTTCTTCTGACGATATTCTGTTTGGTGGAGAAGAAGCTTTAGTAGAGGAATTGGTGTGCTTGAAACATTTGGATGTGATGACTATGACCATGAGGTGTGTCTCTGCTTTCGAAAGAATATGTACCTCCCTCAACTTACTAGCATGTACTCAAGTTCTATGCCTTGAGTCCTTCACCTCTCTGATTTCCCTTGATATATCGGCATTGGCAAATATGAAACACCTTGACATCCGTAATATTTGCGACTGTGAAAGCTTAGAAGATTTGAAAACTGATTTGTTATGGAATGGAGGGGCTGTACAAGTACCTAATGATCCTTGCAACTCGATCATCACGATCAAAAGTTTCTTCCACAGCCTTCAGCGGGTAAGCGTGTATGAATGCCCCAAACTAAAGGACTTAACATGGCTTATTTTTGCTCCAAATCTTGTGACCATAGACATACACGACTGCCCTGAAATGGAGCAGATAATCAATAGTAGGCAGTTGAGTAAAATCGAGGAGGTTGTGGATGGTTTTAATTCATTTGCAAAACTTAACAATTTGATACTGCTTAATCTCTCGAAACTGAAGAACATATACGCAAATGCATTGCCCTCACCGTATCTGAAGACAATTGTTGTGTTTAACTGTCCACAACTCAAGCAGCTCCCACTGGATTCCAGTGTGAACAGACGGAATGTTGTCATCGAAGGAGAGGAAGAATGGTGGAATGGGTTGGAATGGGAGGATGGAGCTACTCGAAATGATTTTATTTCCTGCTTTAGAAATTTAAATATTTGACGTACCTGACGTTGTTCTGTCATTGCCAGTTTTCCTTCCATATAAATTGATAAATATCCTTCCTTTCTGTACAAGTTTCTATTATAATCTGTAACTTACCCTAATCAAAGAACCACAGGTTATGCCGAAACCCGAAACTTTTATGAAATTTACCATCATGGAGATTAGCTTATATCCGAGAATTTGAATTGCGGTTATGAGTTTGGCTTATTTGGTTAAGAACCGATTGTATTTTTGAAATAATCAGTTTCGACATGAAGAGCTACCAAGAAAAACAAAGACCAAACTACAGGCTGGGTTTTTTTTTGTTTTTTGGAGAACCAGGCTGGTTTTAGTTTCTAAGCGCAGAAGAGAGAATTTGTAATCGTAACGATCACCAATTCTCTACTTCTTAGAGGTTGTACTTTCATATGATTGTTTATGAGTTGAAGGTGCCGACATTACAGAGGATGCGCTTCCTGCTAAAATCGCTGCCAATGTTACAGCATGAAAGCACGTCCAGGCATCATAGACACTTCAGAAAAAACCACTAAATAGTCCTCTTAAAGCGCTTCTGAACATTTTTCGCCAAAAGAAATTTAAAAGCAGAGGTGTGAAGTGCTTTTAGTTAGACCAAAAGCAAGCGTAGCAGTGGTACCGTCCCAATAGATAAGAAGTCAGGATGCATAAAAAAATCAGAGCGGCTAATGCTATTAGTTGTTTTCCTTGAAAAACTAGACACCCTTCTACTGAAACGCCTTAGTAAATGTGGAACACAACTTCATCATCTTTGATAACTAAAATTCATTTGCTTTGGCAGTACAGATACACTAATTCTCCAACAACCAATTTAGCTCAAAAGTAGCTACTTTAACTTCTTCAAGATCGGTTGGTAACACAGTTAAATCTTCGGCGTAGAATTTCCGTCCATTTTTTGTACCAATAAGTCTCTTAATCGTAACAGACTTTAAGTGCTGCTGCAAACAATCATTGTGGTTGTCACTCAAGTAATCGGCATTTTGATCTTCTTTAGACATTAAATGCTTGTATATAACCTGAAATCAGCAGAATCAAATAATGAATAAGCAGGGTCGATATCATAAACATACAACATAAGACTCAAATAAATTTCCAAATAAAATTACAGAACTCTTCTTCTATGTATACATAGCTTGCTGATAGAGCTAATGTATGCGTTGCTAGAGGAGATAGGGACACAGCTGTTTAATTCCTACTTTCAAAAGGTTTCTATATAAGGCTTATGGAAGGGCTAACTGACACAACTAAGGGGCTTTCGACTACGTTTGGTGGAAAAATCTAAAAACACTTATGGGCCATAGAAATGCTTTATGAAAAAGCACATGCTAATGCACTTGAATTTATGAAGAACCACATGCTGAATCGTATTAGTCCAAATTTTTTTTTTTACAGTCTGATAGATACTGGGAATTATACAACTACGTACCTTTACCATGTAATTTATATTAGGTGGATAGGAAGCTGTCACAGATAGGGTGAGTGGATGACAGCACAAAAGCAAACCTTCAACAAGAGCTATAAAATCTACCATCACTGATGGATTGTCTACCACCCTCAAATGCGTGATTTTTGCTAATGACGATGAAGGAACTGTTTGAGCTTCACGTATATCTCCTGGAAGGAAGCCCATCTGCAAATTTCAGAAAAATAATGCAAGATGAAAATTAATACAAGCAAATTTTATTAGCAGCTTCCTTGGCACAATTTACACATGAACATAAGCTGGTATCAGGAATAAAGTTGTGTTATGAACTTACTTCTGAGTGAGGCTTAACTCCTAAATTCAATTCTTCAACTGGTGTGAAATTCCCAAGATATTCCCGCAATTTAAGAAACCATGATCGACCAAGAAGCATACCACAGCTAAAATTTAACTCAAGATTAGCTACTCTTAGCTGTGTAGAATTCAATGAAATCGTGGATGGGATATTGTTAGCTGTGCAACTGTACAAGTAAACGAGAGGATTTGGAGTATTTATGTTTACCTCCTTCACACAATTATTCCCATGTAATGTTATTGACAATTTCCTGAGTAGATGGCTAGAAACTTTTAGGATCTTTGCGGAATCAAAAGAGGCGGAGAAGGTCAGCTCCTCGAGATATGGAAACTTAGAAATAAGTGTCTCAATAATTTTGCTGGTAATGAAAGTGTGATATGTAGAGCATAAACTCAACTCCTTTAGATTACTGCAGGAGACTGCTCCGTTGAGAATTGACATTTCCAAAAATTGAGGAATTTCATACAAATGAAGAGTTTGAAGAGTGGTCGCATCAATATAGTACGTATAAGCTTCAGTTTGGAATCCAAGAACATTCTTGAGCTTGAAGTTGGAACTAATTTGAAGATGTTTTATGTTCCTGCATGACTTGATGTCTAAAGTCTCAAGGGAAGGGCATATTGAAAGGAGGTGTCCGGCTAGCCCGTTCAAATCCACATTTGACAATCTCAGCACTTGGAAGCAGCTAAGCCTCTTGCTCGCTGGGATTTCTAAACCACAATTACACAAATTTAAGACAACCAATGCCCCATCAAGAGTAGTAGGAGGAAAGTGGTACCATGACAGCGAATAGATCTTATAGTTCAAGTCTAGCTTCTTGACATAGTTTTTGGCGATTAACTCTATTCGATCATCAAAGACTTGCTCTTGCTCTTGCTCTTGCTCTTTGTTGCCATGCACGGTTTGCTGAGCCGCTCGTTTGTATCTATGAAATCTTGACAAGATCGCTCTCAGCCTAAAGCATTCGATGATACATTTTTTGTGATTGCCATGTTCATGGCATACTCTCATTGATTTGTCAACCCATGTTGTAAGATGATTCCGGAGCCCCTTGGCCTTTTTACGTTTACAACCGTATGGATCCATTAGACAATAAAGCACGGAAGGAATTTCGGTGTCAACATCGAAATGAGAGTCTGGTACTGAGTTCAAAACACTCTTCCATGTCTTAGACACGACGCTCATGTGGACTTTATCTTCTAGAGGCATGCAAAACAGGATTTGATGCATAATACCTTCTGGCAACTGAGATATTCGATCTACAGTCTGTTAACATCATCTCCGCCATGTCGCGTTAAAGGTGAGGGACCATTGTCCCTCAACTTTAACTCAAATTTGCCTAGCTTCATTTTGAGACAAGATCATGCATTTGCCTAGGTCACAAGGTCCCTCAACTTTAACTCAAATTTGCCAAGCCTTGGGGAAAGTGGGACTCACTTGCCCTTTAGAATCCTAGCCTCATGCCTTTCACAACCAAAACCACAAAAATAATTTGTAGACAATATCATCAGTTTGAGGGGCTAGATTTTGCTTCTAGCCTCGGAACCTTGTCAACACATTAGATATGTTCTTACAATCCCTCCCCCATGAAAAGTTAAAAAATTAAATGTTATTTCTCTATTCACTATTATTCCTAAAATAACTTCTATGTTGTGGCCTATTTCTGAGGGAAAGAGGGTGCGGCAGCAATAGAGAAAATGAATAAATTGAGTAGCGTTGCTATTCCATGTAAAAAACTAGTAAGCTTCTAGAGACAAACTACATACATATACTAGGGAAGAAATAAATTAGACTTTTATATATACTATTAAAATTGTTGAGGAATGTGATTGTGTAAATCTAGAAGTAAAATTCAATAGGATTTGGGAGATCAAATCCCTTTATGACTTATTACTTGTAGGGCAAGTAAAGCCCACCACCGTGCATGTAATACGGGCGCCATAGCATTTATAGCAGGATATAGGACAACAAATGTTGTCAGCTCCTCCTGTCGTTGTCGTGCATGTAATACACACGCCATATAAAAAAAAGTGAACATGGCTGACATCATGCTAACGCCAACCAAGTCAGCAGGTGCAAAGCTAGGAAAAACTTGACGGGCTTTTAGACTGGCTTCGTGGGCCCTTCATTGGCCCTACAAATATTGAGTAAATTGTAGCAATGATCCATCAACTTTAATCAAATTAGAGCAATGGTCCCCCAACTAAAAATCCATTACTATTGGTCCCTCGGCTCATCAAAATGTGTAGTTATAGTCCTTTTCATCAACTTCGTCAAAATTTTGTCAAAATAAGTTATGTTGGAATGACCATTGCTAAATTGGGGTCCCTCAACTCATCAAAACGTGTAGCTATGATTATTTTTGTCAACTTCGTCATAATTTTGTCAAAATGAGTTATGTTAGAAGGATCATTGTTACAATTGGGTTAAAGTTGAGGGATCATTGCTCCAATTAGGTTAAAGTTGATGGACCAATGGTAATGGATTTTTAGTTGAGGGATTAATGCTCCAATTGAGTTAAAGTTAAGGGACCATTGCTACAATTTACCCCCAAATATTAGACCACTGGAACTAGGCCTGGCAAACGGGTCGTGTCAGTCGTGTTCGTGTCGTTTTCGTGTAACACCTGTTATCTTAACGGGTCGTGTCGTGTCACACATGTTATCTTAACGGGTCCTTAACAGGTCGGGTCACTTTACCCAACGGGTAAAGTGACCCGACCCGTTAAGAAAAATATTTGTTTTTTCCTAAATTTGCACATACCACACATTTTCACATAAATATTACTTCAAAACATTAAACCACATTTGTCGTTTAAGTACTACATCTACACTCGAAAATAAGAGCCTCATAAAAAATACATTCATACCCTACTAATCTATTACAAATATTAAATGTGCAAGGATATGCAAAATGAAAGCGTTTTTGTTTTCAAGGTTGTGAAGTCTTTCTCAAAAGTTTAAACCTTGCCAATGGAACTCAAAGCTTAATGAAAGTGACCTACTAGTGTGTTTATTCGTACTTTCATTAAGTATAACATAAGATTTTGTGGTATCCACTAGTGTAAATATTTTAAATTGAAGATCGAATTCATTCATTGTATTCATATAGGATCAAGGAGTGTAGTTGTAAAAATCATCAAAATTGGAGTTAAAATAACCGTTAAATTGTAAATTTTCGTTTATAACCGTTGAAAGGTTTTGTCCCGTTACTTAATCTTTAAATGTTTATTTTTTGCAATTTTTGGCGTATGCGATCTCGAAGCATATACAAACAAGTTTGACGGTTAGATCATTGAAACTAGTTTCGTAGAATGCATATCCCATCAAAACAATAGATTCACTAATACTTAAGAGTTTATTCTTACTTTCATTAA